GGGTCTAAATAAAGTGGTTTCAACAATGGGTCCAAACTCACCGCTAGATTCCTTCAAAACTAAAAAGAGTGGTGACAGTAATTCTCCTGCGGCTGATATGAGTGGCTGTATAGTATAACTGTGGGTTGTTGAAGAAACTGACTGTACTAAACACTGTACCTGCTTTTCTCCTTCAACCGCTAGCGTTCTTCCGGAGTGCATTTCCAGTTGGAATCCGCTCTGATCAGAATTAAACACATTATGAATTCCAATTATTCTTATGCCTGCTTTAACATCAGCAATAAAAGTATTTGCTTTAATCGTTAGTTCTGAATTACTTTCTAGTGTTTTCTTGGTTATATAAACTTATTTATTTTCCGGGATACTATTCTATGAGCTTTCTTGAATTTACAAAGCCAGTTATCCGAAGCTTTGAATCTTACATCTTCTGATCCTATAATCTTTTGAGCATGCAATGCCCATCGACGTATGTCACGATCATGAATGATGTAACCAGCGTCTACTGCTGCTTTAAAATTATCAAAAGTGTACTGACAAATTCTTGCAATTTTTTCTCTATAAGTACCACCTTTGTTGACTGTATGAGCCCAACGTTTCAACTGACTCACAGATGAAACTTTCTTAAATTTTTGACGTACACTTTCAACACTTAAATTTTTTTTTTTGCCACTTCTCCAGTATTCTACGGCTCTTTGCTTATATTCAAAACTGACATCTTCATTGTCTTTGGTACAATGGTCGGTTGGTGCTTCGAAATCGTCAGGAAAATGGTGTTGAACTTCATCTTCTACTATTTTTGCAGCATGATCTTTGTAATCTTCTTGAAAATCTAATGTATCTTCAACGATCATATCTACTTCATTGAAATCATTCACGGAATCTATTAAAATGCTTTTAATTCTTTCCGACAATTGAATCTCTTTATAATTTGTCTCACTTTCAGGTATTTGTAGAGTTTGAAAGTAAGCTAATAATAAATTTAAAACGTTCAGAGCGTTAATTTTCATTTTTTAATCTGAAATAAAAAAAAATATATATTTATATATCTTATATATCTTCTATTATATTAAACAGAAGGCGCGAAATTCTCCGTGCGTCCGTCCATCCATCCGTCCCCTTTTTTTCCTTATTTTTCCTCTGTATAGGTCTCTCCTGATATCGCTGGGGAATAAGAAATAAACTGAATAACAAATAAATAAATTAGGATAAAAACAAATAAATAAACAAATTGATAAGTAAACAATAATGATAAACAAACTTATAGAAAACATTCATGAAAAAAATTAATTAATAAATTAAAAAGTAAACATATTAATTAATAAACAATAATAATAAACAAATCAATAAGTAAACAATAATTATAAACATCATTAATTAATAAATCCTCATAATCAGTGTAATTTAAATTTTTTTAATAACAAATATTAAAAAGCCGTAAAATTATTTGCATATAAAAAATAATTTTATAGTTATACTTACGTAGCAGGTACTATGAAATACGAATTAACGAAATAGTATCTTATTATTATTTGTACTTATAATCTTATATTCTTATTACTATTTATTATGCTGTTAGTTCAATAGTCGATACAATACGTCCAACAACAAGAAAGTTGTGTTGGCTACTGATGAAGAATTACTTACTCATATTTATCAATCATGAAAATAACAGACAATCGTCAGAGACGCTGATAGTAGGACGTAAATAAAATTCTGATAATACTATCATTCATATACCAAAATTTTTGCGCATCCGAGAAACTATACTTATCTTCTAGGTATACTTATAATATTATATTATTCTTGACTTGTTTTTTTATATAATAAAAGTTATTTATTTTTTGATAGAATTAATAAACGATAGAACGTAAAAAATTTAAAAGAGAGCAACAAAATAGCTATGGAATCATAGCTTATTTGATTTAGAAAAGATTGCAACGATATGTCAGAAACTTTTTTTAGGATGGTTTTTCAACATTGAGGGTGGTTTTGAAAATAAGTTTGAACAGGTAAATTTTTTATTCTTATTCTATCCACGGTAATATTTTTTCCAATTTTTTTAAGCTCATTATGAACTTTTTTTCAAAAATAGGAATGGAGAAGGTAAAAATTTCGATGACATAAATTAGGGGTTCCAACCCTCGTGGTCGAAACTGCACGAGATAAATGTGTTTGTACATTATAAGTGATGAGCAACGTATTTTACAGTAAATTATCAACAGGACCTGTAATGTATTGGAAACAATTATTTGGGGGTGGTTTTTCAACATTAGGGGTGGTTTTAAAAATGAGAAGTAAATTTTTTTTTCTTATTCTATCCATGGTAATATTTTTTCTAATTTTTTTAAGCTCATTATGAACTTTTCTTCAAAAATAGGTACAAAGAAGGTAAAAATTTCGATGACAGAAATTAGGGGTTGCAACCCTTGTGGTCGAAACTGCACGAGATAGTTGTGTTTGTATAGTATAAATGATGCTTAACGTATTTTACACTAAATTATCAACACCACCTGTAATGTATTGAAAACAATTTTTTAGGGGTGGTTTTTCAACTTTAAGAGGGTAATTTGAAAAAAAGCTTGACTAGATTAACTTTATTTTTGTATTTTATGTAGGGTAATATTTTTTCCAATTTTTTTCGGGTTATTTTAATTTTTTTCATAAAAATAGCCATGAAATAGATAGTATTTTAAATAAAAAAAATAAGGGTTGCATCCCTTGTGGTCGGAATTGCATGTGCTAGTTTGCTTTTCACATGAGAAGTGATATGAAATTTGGTTGGTCGTAAAATATCAATTAGATGCTGAGATACATTGGAAAATCTATTTTTGGGGGTGAACTTTGAGGGTTGTTTTCACCCCCTCAAAGTGTTTTTCCGCCGATAAAAAAAAATACGTATGTCTTATTTTTTGATGAACTATAACATATCAAAAGATTATTGAAATCGGTGAGGTCGGGTTGGGGGGGTTTCCTTGTTAGTCTACTTAATTAAAAGAGAAAGTCGCCGAGCAAGGGATCGCCTGGACGATTTTCTATGTGAACAATTTATGACGCGCACCGTAATTAGGGCAGGTAGCCGACGTGTGCACGCCTTGCTACCTACCTGACGCTTACAATTACGCACTGTGCCATACCGCTGAAGAGAGAGAGAGAGAGAGAGAGAGAGATCAACTTGCGAGACTTGACCTTCAATGCGGGAACGGGAGGCCTGGCTGCGCCCTGCGCACGATGTTGCTGGCCGTCGCTGGGCAATTTCTGCCGGCTTCTCCGGGTAGCGTTCTGAGCAGATGCTGGAACAAGGCAGTTGTCTTCTGTCTTCTCGGTTCTCCTCGGCCCTTGGCGGCGTGTGTGTTTGGCTGACCCTTTGTCCTCAACTGCACTTCGACTTTGCACCGCTGACCGTCTACCGTCTTAAAAATAACTGGTCGACTGGAAAACCTTCTGACTGTGCTCTCGACTCATTACCGTCTTTGTCGATCGTTTTCTCTTCCGTGATCGACAGCTTCTTCTTCGTTCTTTTTCTCTCCCCACTTGACATACTTATTAGGCGGGGCGTGACCAATGCGCTAATTGGTTCACGACGAGCGTCTGCCTAATCTTACGTAGGGCACGCATGCCCCCAACTCTCTCTCTCTCTCTCTCTTTCTAAAACTTGTATATCTGTTATAGACGTAACAATGTATGTGTATGATTTATTTTTGTTACCCGTTGTTACCTATTTGTTTTGCTTTGTTGTTGTTTATAAAAGTAAAGTAAAGTGTTTATAATTGTGATAGAGATAAGTATATATATTTATTTGAACATAAAAAAAATTGTTAGTAAAATCTAAGGAATATTATTTAGATAACCAATTTTAAAAAAAAGCTCGATGCAGATTTCTTTCTAATTTCATGCTTTTTCAAAATAAGAAAATTTTATTTATTCAAAAAGTTTGTTAGAGATTTTTTGTAAAATGCTTATATAATATGCTTATGTAAAAGATTGAATAATATTTTTTTTCAAAACTCATTCTAATGTTATTTTTATATATTTTGTGTAGAAACAAACATTTTTTCCTTAAAATGTTTTTGTAGGGTACGTAGTTTTTAAGATTTTAGTTACTGAAAAAAATACATTTTTTTCTTAAAAATATTCATAGCCATGATAAAAATTATTGTATAAAAAATGTCGGGGTACCGTTTTTAAAAGGATGTATTCATCTTTCAATTCCGATAAGTCTTTTCAGATCCAATATTCGGAACTAAAATAAATATTTTATTTTTCGTTTTTTATATCTGGAAATATCAGTTTTTGTTTTCTTTTCATCAAATTCAGCTTATTTTTAAGCTTCTCTAATGAACTTTAAAATCTGATTGAGTTCTTGAAGCTGCAACTAATTTTGGCCGAGAGATAAAACTTTGAATATCTTCTAATATGAAGCTTATATGGGGAAAAGCATGTGCAGATGAGTGTATATCTCTAGAGAGAACTGAAAAGATTAAAATAATCTATCAAAATCAATCCCGATGAAACATAAAGATTCATAGACTGAATTTTATTTTCATACTATTGAGTCGTGTACGAAGCATAATGAGCCTACCATCAATATTTTCGAAATTAAAATTCTAGAGCACGATCAAAATATATTTAGTTAGGCGCTTGTTCTACAATTTCTAAGATATATCGACCAAATTAAACCCTTCACTTAAGCTTAAGCGTCTATCTTCTTTGGGTATTAAGTATACATATTATAAAAAATTATATATTCACTTATTCCTACAAGGAATACTATTTATTTCATTTGAATACAGTTATATCAGGACATTCTGTTAGAAGTATTCTATGTGGATAATCTTAATTCATAAGAACAATGGCGAGAGGAAAGGTAAAAAAATTGATAAAGGGATGCATTAAGGATTTAGCAAGGATGTGTAGGGCACGAAATTATTGCAACTGTTTTATGAATAATATATTTTCTCTGTCTTTCATTTTATGTCTCTAAAATAATTGTTCAATTACAGATTGCAAAAGAGCGATGTCAACCAGCTAGCATTCGATTGATGGATAACGACCAATTCAAATTCGGACAAGCATTGCGGCCAGAAGAAAGCTGGGGCGGACTGTTATTACAAGGACTCAAGCACATTTACATAACGCGCATCAAAGGTTTTTGTTGGGACAAATTATGTGTAGCTACGCTTCTTTTTGAAGGTAATTCTCATAAAGAAGTGTTTATGCAAGAAGCACGAATTTATGAAATTGCCAAAGATTACGGAGGTGTACCTTCGGGAGAAAGTAATGGAGAACGTGGTTACACCCTCACTTTTGTCATTGCATATATCCGGGATCTTGGCCTTGATTACAACGTGCTTGCTGAAAGTTTTGAGACGTCAGTTTCTTGGAGTCGAGCTTCTGCTCTTTGTCGTAGTGTCAAAGCACGTGTCGCTCAAGAGTGTCACTCATATGGTATTCGAAATTTTCTTATCTCGTGTCGCATCACTCAGACTTATGATGATGGTTGCTGCATTTATTTCTATATGGGCTTCAATTATGATATGCTTTTTGATCCCGTCAGGACATATGAGGCTATAGAAGAGGCTGCACGTCATGAAATTCTAGCTTGTGGAGGCAGTCTCTCCCATCATCATGGTATTGGTAAGATGCGCGCGAAGTTTTATCCAGCAGCTGTAGGTGAAGCTGGTATTGCACTCTATCGTGCTATGAAAAAACATCTTGATCCAAATAATATCTTTGCTGCTGGTAATTTAGATCCTTTATATCAATCGAAGCTCTAAAACTTGTATTTGAGCTGTACAATTCTCATTAATGAGTGCTAAAACTCTTTATACACTGTATTTTAAATATATAAAAATAGTTATTATCTAAATACATTTTTCTATTATTTTCTTTATCTATGTAAATATAACTATTAAAATAAATAATGCAGTGAGTACAATTTTTTTAAGATAAATATTGACCTAAATATGAACTTCAATTCGTTTCCTCTTTTTATAATGATTATTAAATAAGCTGTTACTCAAAAACATTTCAATAAATATATCATGAACATCTTAGAACTTTCCATAAATTTTGATAGCTAATTATAAATTTCATTTCGAACCAAAACAGGTTTCTCAGCTCTTGAAGTATTTGTGACAATATAACTTGTTTTAATTAAAAACGCATTATTTCGCTTCTACGAAACAATTAAATCAACGACCTAAGTTTTTCTGTATATAATAATAACTTCTAAAAGTAAATACAAATACATTGCATAGAAAAATGACAACCCATAAATTTTAGAGAAATAATATTTTCTCTTTTTAAGAAATTAATAAAATTTCTGTTAATAGTTATTTTTGATGTAAAAAATTAAAATGACTCATTATTTCGAAAATATTTTCAATCGAAATAAGGAAATAGGAATTAAAAAATGAATGTATACTGGTACTATAATTTAAATAAAATTAAAATACAAATATATTTTGTAACGGGAGAGATATTTAATTAATTTCCAACCGTTAACAAATTTCCGTTGTGCGGCTACCGTTGCCTCGTTCTGTTTCCAAAATTGGTGTAAGGTACCAGCTGAAAGCGCAAATATATTTTCATCACGCCAATTTCATTTATCTAAGCGATTAGTGCATGTAGGGTTAGACTACTCAAATCAAGCTGTTGATAAACACAACGATTATACAGGGTGATTCAAAAGTATTATAGTTCCTGAAAATCTCATGTAGAAAAATATATAGGCGTTTTGAAAAAATTAATTTTAAATTTTAAAAATTTTTTAAAAATTTTAATCTGAAATAGTTACCGAAATAATGAATAATGAAAATTAAATATTTCGACTAATCAGAGGCGTTCTCTGAGAGATGTTAGTTCTCTCCGCTCAATCACTGCTCTCCCTTCCACTCGGCCAAAACAACGAAAGTAGCTTGTCGTATTATTTGTCTCCTTCTTACATTAATAATTTTTTGTTCCCAACATCAATACTTCTACTATTAACCCATTAACGCTCACAGGACGGTTTTTCGAGACCTGAGTTTGAACTATTCTCATGTCATGAATTCTCGTGGAAAAAATTCAGGAACCATTGTTTCTTATGTTTTCGAGTGTCCTCTTTCCAATGATTCCAAGAAAAATGTTCCTAAAGAGTATACTTTTCGAGAAAAAAAATGTTAAAGTTTGCTAAACAAATATTTTGTTTACCAAAAACCATGCACTTTACGAAAGTTTTTCTGAGAATAGAAATGTCTTAAAAACAAACATAATTTTGACATAATTTTTAAATTTTCAATTCAGAGACTTTTCCGAAATCCCAAAATTTTCTCGGATGATTCTGAAAAAATTTGAGAGTATTTTATAACTAATTCTAAGACATTTTTGTTCTTTAAAAATTTTCATGAAAATCTATAGTATTCGAGAAAAAAATTTGTAAAGTTTTAGATAAATATTTTCACTTCGGCCGCCATTTTGTTTATACGAAAAATTTTCATATCCGGAGAACCATAGTAACTTGTAGTTAAAACCTCGAGGCCGCGATCTATAAGGGTTTTAGGCATTAAAAAAAATGCTTAGGGAACGAAAAGTCGATTTAAAAAAAAAATTAAATCAGAAAATCATGTTTTTTTTATTTATTTTTGATTTTTGGACCGTAAAAGTTTTTCAGCGACAATTTTAACCAGCATCATTGGAAAGAGGACACTCGAAAACATAAGAAACAATGGTTCCTGAATTTTTTCCAAGAGAATTCATGACATGAGAATAGTTCAAACTCAGGTCTCGAAAAACCGTCCTGTGAGCGTTAATGGGTTAATATGGAGCTTTCATCGCATTTCATATCAACGAATAATTAATGATAATGGCTCTTTTTTGAATAAGCACGAAACATTTTTTTTATCCGATTTCCAGCTATTTCTTCGCTGATGCGAACGACCCGTGCTTACTAATTAAATTTTTTTAAAGGGAATACTTAAATAATACTTAATAATACTTAATACTTACTTTTTTCTTTTTCTAATGAATTTATGATTATATTTTTGTAATCACTTTCCTTCCAATTTGGTCAGTTTCATTAATGGTAAGTGTTCCATTAATAGTCTACACTGCAGTTTTATTTATATGAAGCAAAAATAGTTATTTTACACTGTAACATTCGAATGAAAAATTTACAAGATCGACGTATTTTGTCATCGGACTTATGTGGACTATTTAATTGTTTATACGAAGTAATTCGCTGTATATTTCAACAACAATCGCACTTCTACCCTACGTGTTATTTTTTGTAAACTTTAAGTTGTTTATTATATTTGTTGTACTATGATTCATTGCAATCAAGGCGCACCCTATATTGCTGCCGTGTATATCGACATGATCATTTTATATGGCTGGTCAGAAAACAACGCCACTGCAGCCTATAGGCTATATGCCGAGATATTCCCCAATTAAAGACTGTCTGGCCTCATGTCATTTTAGCTACTATACAATTACCTCAAGAAGATGGCAATGTTATGCCTGTTCAACACCGAGACCCTGGGCAGGGAGTAGTCGGAAGGGTTTCTCTCAGGGTGAGGAACGTCGTAGATGAAGCTATGTTAGATTGTTTCGAAGAAGATCCAAGAAGAAGAATATCGACTGTCAATCACGATCATTTCTACCTTTTTACTATTGTTAAGGGTGAAGTGAACAAGAATAATTTGTGACGGGGCCCTGGCCAGGATGGTCATGTTTGTTGTTATCTTGAGTTTCTATTTCAATGAAAAAACGCTGCCAGCTGCTCTAGCGGTGTGCTTCCTTGGAATTTTTGTTATTTACGTTTGTGTTTACGTTATCACACACATACGAAATGTTATCATCGATCGAATTTCATAAGTTTAAAATTATCGTATTTCTTAAATATTAAAAACCAGGTCATCAACTATTTGAAAAAAAAAATATGCTTTAAGATAAAATTCTCCACCTATCCCGATGAAAAGTTACACATATGTAAAAAAATATGTTTTTTATAAAATTTTTGAAAATAGGTTTCTTCTAAGTACTATATCTTTTGATATACATCGATTATTCAATCATGCCATGATTCATTTAAAAGCTACTTGTAAAAGCTTTAAAACAAGCTGTAATATAACGAAAAATACGTTCTCAATCAAAAGTTATAGCAATTTTACAGAAAAATCACTTTTTAAAAATTGACAACTTTTTCCTAAAAATGGGTATAAAATATTTTTTAAGTCGGTTATTGGCCTTAAAAAATATTTTCCCACCTACCTTCCATCATAACAAAACATATGAAAAAAGTCTCATCAAAATCTATCGACTGGAATAGTCATTGCGATTGACAGAACACACACACACATACACTCATACATCCCCACGGACAGACGTCATCAAAATATGACTTTGACGATGATTCTGAGCTTCTGACAATAATTCTATGGTAAAATATCAATTTACACAGTTTCAGGACGTGTAGATTTATCAAAAAAAATAAGAATGGAACCGCGAATGATAAAATTAAAAAAATTACAGCGAAAAAGGAAAAATTATTGAAAAAACCGAAAACAAAGCTTCCTTTCCAAGGAAGAAAAAGTAATAGTGGTATGTTTGTTTAGCTGTGTCTAATATTGGTAATGTTTTTTTACTTTCTGGTTATAGCTTTCTAATTCTATTTTCAGTTCCTCCGTATTAACAGAATGTGTAACACGTACGTTAATAATTTAAGCCCGAACAATGTTGCGTCACAAATTATTTAAGGGGAAAGGCTCGGAAGGCGCATTCGCTTCGCCGCGAAAATTTAACGAGGGCTATGTCGTCCGGTAATATCGATAATCGCAATTTAATCAATTACAAGAGAGACAGGTTTACACAGAATAAACTCATCAATTCAACTACTTTACTCTTTATTGCTACAATAATATACATTCGGCGTTGACGTGTGCGTCGGCCGATTCCGGGCTAAGTTCGTTCCGTGCGAATTAACGCACAGGAAACAGAACGTCACCTTACAACGTATCTCACGAATTCCGCGAGGGCGATGCGAATTCACGCATGCAACCGCTCGTCCGCGTCCGGCCTATACGATGCTAGGAGAGAGAGAAATCGAGGTGCGCACCGAGAAACGAAAAGGGTACCTGACCTTGAGAGGGAGCGCTGCTGCGGAAGTCCGCGTCCCCTGAGCAAACGATGTTATCTTCGAAAGGCGGGACTCTGGATGCAGCCGGTCTTCCTTCTTACTGATGGTCGTTCAATGGCAATCAACCACTCGAACACTCACTGAGGCTCGTTCGATGGCAATCAGCTACTCGAATACTCACTGAGGCTAGTCACAAGGCTCGAATAGCTAGCAATTAGTCACTGGTCGAAACCCTACTGCCCGCGATCTCGCGGCTTCCGCGCTTTCTTACGCGCCCCTCCCTATAGGTACTCAAAACGGCCGAGCGCCGCTGGCTACGCACACATGTGCGGCTCATGCCGGCAACACTATTTCTCTCTCTCCTCCTCTGCTCCCCGCTCACGCCTATCCCTCCAACGCCAGGCATCTCCGCCGATCAGGAATCAGACCTGTAACAAAGCCACATCGTGCGTCGATATTCGGTTTTACTCAACCAAGACCGATGTGGCAGCGGCTCAGGGGAAGGCACGCGGAAGAGAGAGAGAGGCGAACAGGGCGATCGAATCCAACGATCGATTCGCCCGTCACAAATGATAGATATTTTTTAGCACTACTCTGTAATTTCTGTACTGTTTTCTTTGATAAGTATAAAATACAGCATTTTTCTCTTTTAGTAATTTTATTATTGGATTGTAATATTGAGATAACACTGGTTGTATTCTGACTTCATTTTTGTTCTGGATTTTAAATGTATAACTGTCTTTTGCTATACGATCAAATTCTTTTAACGGTCTTATGTTTTCTACTCCTATCACGAATATTGAA